CGGAATCCACTCCTGGATATTCCCATTTTTCCACACTGGGAATCCACTCTAATTCCCTCCTTTGTCCACTCTGAGAATCCACTCCTGGATATTCCCATTTTCCCACTCTGGGAATTCACTGCTGGATTCTTTCCTTTGTCCCCTCTGGGAATTCACTCTAATTCCCTCCTTTGTCCACTCTGCGAATCCACTCCTGGATATTCCCATTTTTCCACTCTGGGAATCCACTGCTGGATGTGCCCTTTGTCCCCTCTGGGAATCCACTCCTGGATATTCCCATTTTTCCACACTGGGAATCCACTCTAATTCCTTCCTTTGTCCCCCCTCGGAATCCACTCCTGGATATTCCCATTTTTCCATTTTGGGAATCCACTGCTGGATTCCCTCCTTTGTCCACTCTGGGATCCAGCCCAGGGGTGGGTGTGGGGTGTTTTCCAGAGAGAATCCAACCCATGGGAATTCTGGGGTATTTTCCCACCTGGATCCAACCCATGGGAATTCTGGGGTGTTTTCCCACTTGGATCCATCCCATGGGAATTGTGGGGTGTTTTCCCACTGGGATCCATCCCATGGGAAATGTGGGGTGTTCCCAAAGAGAATCCATCCCATGGGAATTGTGGGGTGTTTTCCCACCAGGATCCAACCCATGGGAATTGTGGGATATTTTCCCACCTGGATCCATCCCATGGGAATTGTTGGGTGTTTTCCCACTGGGATCCAACCCATGGGAATCGTGGGGTGTTTTCCCACCAGGATCCATCCCATGGGGAATTCTGGGGTATTTTCCCACCTGGATCCAACCCCTGGAAATTGTGGGGTGTTTTCCCACTTGGATCCAACCTGTGGGGAATTGCGGGATTTTTTCCCACTGGGATCCAACCCCTGGGAATTGTGGGATTTTTTCCCACTGGAATCCAACCCGTGGGAATTGTGGGATGTTTTCCCACTGGGATCCATCCCATGGGGAATTGTGGGATATTTTCCCACCTGGATCCAACCCCTGGGAATTGTGGGGTGTTTCCCCACTGGGATCCATCCCATGGGAATCGTGGGGTGTTTTCCCACTGGGATCCATCCCATGGGAATTGTGGGATATTTTCCCACAGGGATCCAACCCATGGGAATTGTGGGATTGGTCAGGAATGAAGCCCTGATCCAACCCATGGGAATCCAACCCCTAGGAATTGGGGGGTGTTTCCCAGAGAGAATCCAACCCATGGGAATTGTGGGATATTTTCCCACTTGGATCCAACCCGTGGGGAATGGTGGGGTGTTTTCCCGCTGGGATCCATCCCATGGGAATTGTGGGATGTTTTCCCACCGGGATCCAACCCATGGGAATTGTGGGATGTTTTCCCATGGGGATCCATCCCATGGGAATGATGGGGTGTTTTCCCACCTGGGATCCAACCCGTGGGAATTGTGGGATATTTTCCCACCTGGGATCCAACCCATGGGAATCGTGGGGTGTTTTCCCACTGGGATCCATCCCATGGGAATCGTGGGGTGTTTTCCCACTGGGATCCATCCCCTGGGAATTGTGGGATGTTTTCCCATGGGGATCCAACCCCTGGGAATGGTGAGGTGTTTTCCCACCAGGATCCATCCCATGGAAATTGTGGGGTGTTCTCCTACAGGGATCCATCCCATGGAAATTGTGGGATTGGTCAGGAATGAAACCCTGATCCAACCCATGGGAATCCAACCCATGGGAATTGTGGGGTGTTTCCCAGAGAGAATCCAACCCATGGGGAATTCTGGGATATTTTCCCACCTGGATCCAACCCATGGGAANGAATTGTGGGGTGTTTCCCAGAGAGAATCCAACCCATGGGGAATTCTGGGATATTTTCCCACCTGGATCCAACCCATGGGAATTGTGGGGTGTTTTCCCACCAGGATCCATCCCATGGGAATTGTGGGATGTTTTCCCACTGGGATCCAACCCATGGGACTTGTGGGATGTTTTCCCACTGGGATCCAACCCCTGGGAATTGTGGGGTGTTTTCCCACCTGGATCCATCCCCTGGAAATTGTGGGGTGTTTTCCCACTGGGATCCAACCCATGGGAATTGTGGGGTGTTTTCCCACTGGGATCCATCCCATGGGAATTGTAGGATGTTTTCCCACCAGGATCCAATCCCTGGAAATTGGGGGGTGTTTTCCTACAGGGATCCATCCCCTGGGAATTGTGGGGTGTTTTCCCACCTGGATCCATCCCATAGGAATTGTGGGGTGCTTTCCCACCTGGGATCCATCCCATGGAAATTGTGGGATGTTTTCCCACTGGGATCCAATCTGTGGGAATCATGGGGATGTTTTCCCACTGGGATCCAACCCCTGGGAATTGGGGGGTGTTGTCCCACTGGGAACCATCCCATGGAAATTGTGGGATGTTTTCCCATGGGGATCCAACCCATGGGAATTGTGGGGTGTTTTCCCACCGGGATCCAACCCATGGGAATCGTGGGGTGTTTCCCACCTGGGATCCATCCCATGGAAATTGTGGGATTGGGCAGGAATGAAGCCCTGATCCAACCCATGGGAATCCAACCCCTGGGAATAGTGGGCTGTTTTCCCACCAGGATCCAACCCCTGGAAATTAGGGGGTGTTTTCCCACTGGGATCCATCCCCTGGGAATGGTGAGGTGTTTTCCCACTGGGATCCATCCCATGGGAATTGTGGGATGTTTTCCCATGGGGATCCAACCCATGGGAATGGTGGGGTGTTTTCCCACGGGGATCCAACCCCTGGAAATTGGGGGGTGTTTTCCCACTGGGATCCAACCCATGGGAATTGTGGGATTGGTCAGGAATGAAGCCCTGATCCAACCCATGGGAATCCATCCCCTGGGAATGGTGGGATGTTTTCCCACTGGGATCCATCCCATGGAAATTGTGGGGTGTTTTCCCACTGGGATCCATTCCATGGGAATTGTGGGATGTTTTCCCACTGGGATCCATCCCATGGGAATCATGGGGTGTTTTCCCACCTGGATCCATCCCATGGGAAATGTGGGGATGTTTTCCCACCTGGGATCCAACCCATGGGAATCATGGGGTGTTTTCCCACTGGGATCCATTCCATGGGAATTGTGGGGTGTTTTCCCACTGGGATGCAACCCATGGGGAATTGTGGGGTGTTTTCCCACTGGGATCCAACCCATGGGAATCGTGGGGTGTTTTCCCACCTGGGATCCATCCCATGGGAATAGTGGGGTGTTTTCCCACCTGGGATCCATCCCATGGGAAATGTGGGGTGTTTTCCCACCAGGATCCAACCCCTGGAAATTGGGGGATGTTTTCCCATGGGGATCCAACCCATGGGAATCGTGGGGTGTTTCCCACCTGGGATCCATCCCACAGAAATTGTGGGGTGTTTTCCCACTGGGATCCATCCCATGGGAATAGTGGGGTGGTTTCCCAGAGAGAATCCAACCCAAGGGAATTGTGGGGTGTTTTCCCACCGGGATCCATCCCATGGGAATCGTGGGATGTTTTCCCACCGGGATCCAACCCATGGGAATCGCGGGGTGTTTTCCCACCGGGATCCAACCCCTGGGAATGGTGGGGTGTTTTCTCACCAGGATCCATCCCATTGGGAATTGTGGGGTGTTTCCGACCTGGGATCCATCCCACGGAAATTGTGGGGTGTTTTCCCACTGGGATCCAACCCATGGGAATCGTGGGATGTTTTCCCACCTGGGATCCATCCCATGGAAATTGGGGGATGTTTCCCCACTGGGATCCATCCCATGGGAATTGTGGGGATGTTTTCCCACTGGGATCCATCCCATGGAAATTGGGGGATGTTTCCCCACTGGGATCCATCCCATGGGAATCGTGGGGTGTTTTCCCACTGGGATGCAACCCATGGGAATTGTGGGGTGTTTTCCCACTGGGATCCAACCCATGGGACTTGTGGGGTGTTTTCCCACTGGGATCCATCCCATGGGAATCGTGGGGTGTTTTCCCACCTGGGAACCATCCCAAGGGAATTGTGGGGTGTTTTCCCACCAGGATCCAACCCCTGGAAATTGGGGGGTGTTTTCCCACCAGGATCCAACCCCTGGAAATTGGGGGATGTTTTCCCACCGGGATCCAACCCATGGGAATTGTGGGGTGTTTTCCCACTGGGATCCAACCCATGGGAATCGTGGGATGTTTTCCCATGGGATGGATCCCCATGGGAATCGTGGGGTGTTTCCCACCTGGGATCCATCCCATGGGAATCGTGGGGTGTTTTCCCACTGGGATCCAACCCGTGGGAATTGTGGGGTGTTTTCCCACCTGGGATCCATCCCATGGAAATTGTGGGGTGTTTTCCCATGGGGATCCAACCCATGGGAACTGTGGAGTGTTTTCCCACCTGGATCCATCCCATGGGAATCGTGGGGTGTTTTCCCACCTGGGATCCATCCCATGGGAATTGTGGGATGTTTTCTCACTGGGATCCAACCCATGGGAATTATGGGATGTTTTCCCATGGGGATCCAACCCCTGGAAATTGTGGGGTGTTTTCCCACTGGGATCCAATCCGTGGGAATCATGGGATGTTTTCCCCACTGGGATCCATCCCCTGGAAATTGTGGGGTGTTTTCCCACCTGGATCCATCCCATGGGAATCGTGGGGTGTTTTCCCACTGGGATCCATCCCATAGGAATTGTGGGGTGTTTTCCCACTGGGATCCATCCCCTGGGAATTGTGGGATGTTTTCCCATGGGGATCCAACCCATGGGAATTGGGGGGTGTTTTCCCACTGGGATCCATCCCATGGGAATCGTGGGGTGTTTTCCCACCTGGGATCTATCCCATGGGAATTGTGGGGTGTTTTCCCAGAGAGAATCCAACCCATGGGGAATTGTGGGGTGTTTTCCCACCAGGATCCATCCCATGGGAATTGTGGGGTGTTTTCCCACCGGGATCCATCCCATGGGAATTGTGGGATATTTTCCCACCTGGGATCCATCCCATGGGAATTGTGGCTGTTTCCCTGCAGCCCGCTGCCTGCAGCCCATGGATGAGGGCTCCTGCCAGCGCCATTCCCTGCTCTGGTACTTCCACGTCCCCTCCAGCTCCTGC